ATTCTTCAGAGTATTTTAATTTAAATCCATGCCTCTGGACATAGTTTATGGATTCTTTTTCCTGCTTGCTGAAATCTGCTGTTGAATCCCCTTAAGTGAAATTTTCATTTCAATTACTGTATTCTTAAGTTCCAGAATTTTGGCTTCACTTCTATTAATAATTACTAAACTAGATTTTATATACAACAGATGTGAAAAAGAAATGAACTTCATGAAACTCCAAGGGAATTTAACAAATGCATGCCCATGAGAGCTCCCACAGGCTTTAGAGGGGAAAAAAAAAAAAAATCCCACCTGCCATATCAGTAAACACAGGATGTCGCAGTCATCAAGCCATCATGCCATCGCATCACAGCTGCCCAGAAGGTGAACCCTGAGGGAACTCAGGATAGAAACAGGGTGCTCACTATTTAGTAGTCAGTCACTGCAGCCACCCCGGTGAGGTACCCAGAGAGTCAGGACAAGAAAGCACAGGATACTGGTCCCAGAGGGCTGAGGTGCACACCAAATGGGTGATTTCAGCAAGCCCTTGCATCTTCCCATTTGTAGAGAAGTACTAAATTCCTTAACTTGAGATGTCTTGTTTTCTTTAATTAACAGTCATCTTGTAATATTCCCACTTCCTGGCCTTTGTTGCGAAAACTCCTATATATCTTGGCTCCTCCCTTACCTATTTGGAGCAGTTTTGATGAGAGGCTGCATCCTGGGCTTAAGGTCTCAGTTTTGTCTGTCAAAGAAAGTATGATTTTCAACCTTCAGGCTGTGATTTTTTTTTTTAGTTGACAAAGATAATTATCCTATCAGACAACAATTCAATCTTGAAAACTGTGCTACTACTTGGAGTGTCTCCTAAGTGCTTGGGTTCACTCTATTATGTCTTTAATTTAATCCTTAGCCAATAATTTATAAGGACCCAGGTTGAGAGGATTCAGGTCGCTTACCTTAGGTCACAGGGCAGCGTGACTGGAGCCTGAGATCTTAACCACAGCCCTGTGCTGCTCCCTCTAAAGGCAGAGGCCGCCACCTGAGGGCACAGGAGGAGAATGCGCTGCCCCAGCAGACGGTAATTACGCTATAATTACATAAGATAACCCTCTGGCCCCAGGTTAGGTCAGAAAGGAGCTGACTCATTTTTCAACCTTGTCTCTCATAATACTAGTATGTAGTGGTAAGGAAAAGGAAGGAATATTTCCTTTTAACTGCTTAAATGTGTTTAGCCAACAACTGAAGATATTTAAATGCTGAACACTCTTCTATTTTCATAGCACTAACTTGAACCTTTGAAAGAGGAAATTTTGGAAGGAAGAAGGAACAAAACATAGCAAATTTAGCATAGAAACTGCATACTCATGTATTAAAATTTATTTCTGATTCATTTCCCAAATTCATGGCCAAGACAGGCATCAGCATACACAGGCGATTTGAGGAATTTTAGTTATGCAATGGTTCTAAGAATCATAACATGAAATCACAGCAATGAAGACTTTTTTTTCAATGTCACTATAAGGAAGGAAGACATAGAAATAGCCACAACTTTATTTTACAACAGAGGCGCCTTGGCGGGCTACGGTTCATAGGGTAGCAGAGTCAGCCACAACTGAACGACTGAGGACATGAAAATTACTATGAATGCTTCATGACTTTTGGGGGATGGGACTCAAGGCTGAAAGACCACCCGTTTCACTACCTAAATCACCTGTTTTAAGTGTTTTAGTAGGAATGTGCCATCAGAGCAGTCTCTGACATAAACATATTCAAAAGAATATCCTTTTCTTCTCAGATGCCACGAAGGACACTTATCTTGAGAGGGAAGAACAGCACTTCTTTCAGCTTGCTTGCTTTGCTGAACTCCTAAAGAAGCAGAACTTCAGAAAATTTAACGAGCCACACGAAGCCACGGTCTGGTTCTGTAAGGTTACCTTATTATTTAAGCACCTTGATATCCAGCCAGACTGTCTTAAACTCAGAAACCATTATTTCCTTTCTCCTTTCATATAAAAGGCTCACTGAGGGCACACAACTGCCTGAGTAACCTAAACTCAACATTTAGATTTTATATATAGCAGATCTGAAAAAGTACTTCAAGAAATGAACTTCATGAAACTCCAAGGGAATTTCACAAATGAATGCCCATGAGAGTTCCCATAGCCTGCTTCAGGGCAGAGTAAATAGAATGACTGTTGACAGGTACGGGGTTTCTTCTTGTGGTAATGAAAATAAAGTAAACTGTCTAAAACTGGCCATGGTAATGCCTGCATGGCTTTGTGAATCTACTAAGAATCACTGAATTGTACACTTTATTATATGAGTGAATTATATGGTATGTGAATTGTATCTCAATCAAGCTGTTAAAAATTTATTGGTTTTAACTATAATTCAATAAAACATAAAAAATGTATTGATTTTCACTTGTTTTTACGATATTTACCTAAAGCTCCACCAGATTTAGCCACAGGGGAAACTTGATGGAATGCAGCTTGAAGCCCTGTTTAGTTGACTATATCAAGGGGCTTCCATTCTCTTTAGGAAAAAAAAATTCTCGTAAAATAATGACAACTAGATTTTCCTGGGGACAAGTTCCAGGTTTTAGCATGTTTACAGAAATGCGGCCTCCAGAAAACCAGTAAATAATGATGTCTCCTAATACTACTACTCCAATTTTTTTTCCCCTAGTACTAGCTACTGGATACATGAAAAATTACTACAATTTAAGCATAATGTGTGCATGTATGCTAAGTCACTTCGGTTGTGTCTGTTGAGTCCCTATGGACTGTAGCCTGCTAGGCTCCTCTGTCCATGGGATTCTAAAGGTGAGAATACTGGAGTGGGCTGCCATGCCCTCCTCCAGGGGATCTTCCCGACCCAGGGATTGAACCCACATCTCTTAGGTCTCCTGCACTGGCCGGCGGGTTCTTTACCACTAGCACCACCTGTAAGCATAATAGTAAATAAGTTCACCTTAATGTTTGTTTCCAAAAAACAACTGTTGAAAGGGCACCCAGCTATAAAAAACTTACTTCAGGTTTGGGATTGAACATCATGTTTTATATGTCTTTCAAATCACATTTGAGAAGTTATTCTATTATTAGAAAAGTATTTATCTGCAAAATTGTGAGACTTTATTTATGTAGGATCTTGGAATTAAATACTGAAAAGACTAAATATGCCCATGTCTAGATCTCTAACTATAAACCCTCTGCCTTTTTAATCCTAACATGCAGAATCAATTAGCAAAACATAAGATGGAAGAAATGTTTGCAGAGGGCTTTTACAGTACTCCAGTTAAAGATGATGTTTAAAAACAAAAATGTACCAATGTATTGCTTACACATGAATAACTCAACAGATACACTAGAGAGGAATTACTAAATTTTAATTGAGTTTAGACTGTACCATCTCGATTCAGAAATCTGAGAAATTCACAGTTCAAAAAGGAATTTTATAGATATATGTAGATGAACATCATCATTACACAGATGTGGAAACTAAAATACAGAATGGTTAAGACTCACCAAGTGACCAAGAACCAGAAGTAATAAGATTTGAACTTAGGTTTTACAACTCATAATTCAGTTTTTTTATACTCTTAAACTCATTTTATTAAAGGTATATAAAATAATTTTAAAAATAATCTGTATAAAAAGTGTCCCTAAGTTTTATAAATCATATATTTCAAATGCATTAGGGATACCAATTCTACACATATCTACTCACTGGATAATAAGTACTAAATAACTTGAAATTATATAATCACACCTAGGATAACTGGAATAAGATCATGGAAGAAATAAAAGGAGCCATCACTCTTGAAGCTGTGACTGACTGATACACATATGCAACTAGGTCTCAGTTCTTAAAAGCATCATGAGGTCACATTAGAGAGGAACAAATAACTCTTGACTTATGTTTACAGAATAAATCAATTTACATACAAATAGCACTGTATATATCATCTGTTTACACTTAGGTTTTTTAAGAAAATGCTTTCAAATCTCTCATCAAAATTTTTTTTGTGTTAAGTTTACTAAGAAAAAGCAAAGAAAAAGGGATCCATTAATTGGAAAGCCAAATGATGAATTACAGTAAAAAGCTGTCAAACTGCCCTACTGAATAACCAAGGATTTGTAGAAACTGAAAAGTTTCATATTTTACTCCAAATAAACAAATACAAATAAAAAACAGGATATGGACAGACTGACCATATTTCTCAATCAGCCAAAGAAGAAGAAGAGAGCAGATGAGACAGTCCATTTTGTCCTCCAAAGCCTCACACAGGTTGGAGGTGTAGGTAAAGTGATGCTACACTAAGGTGTCCCAGACTAAGGTGTCCAGAACTCTCTAGACCCCACATGGTTCCGATCAAAAAATAACCAGAGGCTGCCTTTTCCCATGGGTGCCTTGTCATTCAGGCAAAAAAAAGTCCATAGCTCCAAATTTTAACTGGCAAATTATATGCCAGATGAAAAATACTCTGTAACCAAAGTAATATAAAGCTAGATGTCTTACTCAACATTGTTATATGATGTATATTACTATACATCAATGAAGTAAGATGTAAAGATCCAAAAAAATCTGTGTAAGACTGGACTAGCCCATAAACTCACTGGTTAGAAATCAAAGCCAAAGTGACAACGGAAGGAAATTTTTAATGCTGATATTAGTAGAAAATGGTCTAATAGATATAGGAAAAGGCTATATATACATAAAAAGCATCTAGTGAGAAGACATGTACAAAAAATGCCAACTTCAACACATTTGTTGTAGAATACTGGGAATAGCCATAAGTGGTTAAATACTTCATAGTACACCCATACAACGAACACTATAGAGACACATGTCACATACATGGCATGCCACACAGCTGTGGTTTGCATGTGCTATCACAGAACTAGCTCTGGAACATATTAAGAGAAGAAAAGCAAGAAGCAGGACAATACACACAGTATGGGATGGGAAGACTGTTTATTCTTAGTTAAAAATAATAATTTAAAAACAAATACCTTGTGGTATCTTCCTTACAGTGCCTCTTTTGCTTCTTGAACTTCTGCTTCCAGGTATCCTGTGGTCCTTTCTCAAGAAGGGCTGCCTGTCTTTGGGGCTTTCACAAGAAATGTTTTCCGAGTTCTCACTTGCAGCCACCTCACAGCTTGGTGTGCAGCTTTCATTATTGTTCAGACTGTCCTGCTGAAACACTTCAGGTTTGCCCATTGCACTGTCACTGCTGGTCAGAAGCTCAAGCCCATCCCCATCAAGTTGATTTTCATTTTCATCTGATGCAGAAGGCAAGCATGTTACTATACTTTCCACGCTGTCACCAGGATGACATCCATCTTGTGGTTCTATCTGCAGATTACATGCAGGAGTTTCGCTGTCATCCATTAGAGCATCTTTTGTTGAACCATTTAAGTTTCATTAAAGTCCTTCAATGTCTACAATGACAAAAAGAAAAATCTAGTTCATTTTTTGAACTCTGGATTTTCAGTGATCTTTGATCTTCCTCTTCTCCTGGATTGTTTTACTGTAAATATGGAAGAGACAGAAATTACAAAGGCTCACTCCTATTTCTACTTTTCTTACAGCCCTACCCCACCTCACCTGGTTCCTGTTTGAATAAAATGGTTCTAAATCCTGGGTGCATGTTTATTACCTGTGGAGCTTGTCCAATTTCTACTGTAGACCTATGAAATAAAAATTTCTGGGGGCTAAGCCTAAATACCGATGTATTTTTTGAAGTTCTCAAGATATTCTAATGGTGCAAAATGCTGGGACCACCTCCTTGATGAAAGAAATTATTGGTTAAATAAGGCTGTCTGCTAAAACCAATCATTCATTTTATCCCTGGACACTTAACAGACAAGTGAAAGTTACTTGTATAAGCCCTTATATGGCCAAGCAGCAGCAATATTTATAAATGAAAACATTTAAAAATAGTTTTAAGATAAATTTTTTAAAAAGTATATGGGGGAAAATTCAGGTAGCATATATTCTCATTACATACTTTACTTTCTAAAAATAAGCCCTGAAAAGTACTTTAGAATTGTCAGCAAATTTCTTTTATTCAGTTTAAAAAAAGAATCATGATTAACTCTAAGCTATTTAGTTTAGACTTGGAAAAAATGTAAATCTACTTCAAGAATCCTTGTAACATTTTAAAGACATACAGATAAGACTTTAAGCCTTGTATCAGTCACGTTTTTTTCCCTTCTTCTGATCCAAAAGTATATCATATTTTAAGAAAAATGATACCAGCCAGATTTAGGTATTTTATGCTTGCCAAGTTTCGCTTTGGGTTTGAATCAAATATAATTCAGCAATTTTGAGAAAAACACAGTGATAAGAATTTTGTAAATTCTTCAAATTAATAAATAGAAATGCTATTTGCTCTTTAGAAACAGCAAATATATACAGTAAATATTATATTTAAGTAATTTTTTTTAAAAAGTATAAAACAAAACATGAATCCTACACTGACTGTATCACATGCTTTCAATTATCTTACAACTGAAATATTTCAGCTGATTCAGTACTGCCTATCAAATATAAAAAATATCTAAATCTGGCTCGTATCATTTTCCTTAAAGTATATACTATATTTCTTCATTAACAGATACATAATATAAAAAGTAAAAGGACTTAACTTGACTAAGAATAACTTAGTTTAGACCTAAAATGAATTCAAACTAGAATATAATTTTTAATTGAAAAGTGATTAATACAGTATTTTCAGGATCTGTATCATGAGAAAATCCAAATTCTAGTAAGAGCTTAAAAGTGCATGTGGCTCATATGGTGTCCCATGATGGATAAAGAGATAAGCAAAATATAACATTTATACAACAGAATCTTATTCAACCATAAAAAGGAATAAAGTTCCAATACATGCCACATCATGAATGAACCTTAAAAATAGTAAGCCTGACACAAAAGGATAAATACTATATGGTTTCACTTATATGTAATACTCATAACAGGCAAATGCACAGAGATAGAAACTAGATTAAAAGGTCTGAGGGCAAAGGAGGAAGTTACTGCTTAAAGGCTACAGAGATTTTGCTTAGAATGATGGGCAAGATCTGGAAAGAGACAGTGGTAACAGTTACACAACAGTACCACTGAACCGCAGGCTTAAAAATGGTTAAAATGGCATATTTTTTGTCATATATTTTTACCACAAAAAAAGTAAAAATAGTGAAAATTTTATGTGGCTATGTAAGAGAAATGTCAATTCTTAAAACTGTCAACAGCCTCAGCTGTTTTCTAATGTAAACAGTGAAGTTATTTTCTGGCATGTATCTGCAGTTGGAAGCATAATGGTTTATTTTTATCTGAAAGAGACACAGAGATCTCTTGCCAAGGCGGAAGGCAGAAAGCGATCTGGAGCCCCAAACAACAACAGTCACCTCTCGCTGAGTCTGTCAGGTGTTAGAGGTTGTGCCAGGTGCTTCATGGATCTGATTTCTAATCCTCCAAACAGGCCTACATGGAGGTATTCATACTGTGTTTGAGATGAAGACTCTGGGGCTCGGGAAGGAAAAAATACCTTGTTTAAAATCATATTTATTCCTAGAAATAAGTGGAACTGAATCTGAAACCAGGTCTTTCTGATTTGAATCCTGTGCAGTTCAGCATAATGTCTGAGAACACAGGCATACCTAGGCTCAATTTCTGGCTCTGCCATTTAACAAACTGTCTACGTGACCTTAGGCAAATTACCTAGCATCTCCAAGCTTTAATTTCTTCTTTGTAAAAGTGAAGAACTGTAATACCTACCTCAAAGAGTCATTTGTGAGGCTTAGATGACACGGCAGGTAAAGCATGTAAGCAGAGTACCTGGCCCACAGTAAATGTTCAAGAAAGTCAGCCATAAATACTGCCCCCCAAATCTCACAGATGGGCATAGTAGCAGGTTTATTCGAGTGGCTTAAGGTTCAGAAACAGAGCTTTTCTAAACCTCCTGAAAATTATTAGGTTCCTAATAACAGACTAACACTAAGCAGCATCATTTGAGAATGCTGAAGTATTGATTTATGATAGGGATATCTCAGCAAGCTCCTGGGACTTCTAACTATCTCTTCTATACACCATTTCAGATGATAAAGATATCTAGAAATTAGTGATTAAGGCTCCCTGGTGAGTATAAAATCACAAATCACATTTTGCAACTTTATCAAGCATCATGTGCCAGTTAAACTGTTCAAACCAACACTCTATTCAATTCTCACAATTTCTCTAGCACATGGCTAATTTTTAGTTCTATTATACTAATGAAGAAACTAAGTCTCATAATCTCGTCAAAGCTCAGCTAATAAATTTAGAAACAGAACATGGAATGGTTGTGATCCTGAGGCTGCACTCATTAATTATGCTCTATGGACAATGGCGCAAAGCAAGTTAATATTTCGCTCCAGCTGTGGCGTACCTCAGATAAGAATCTTACCCTACAATAGAGGACACACTTCTAACAACCAAGAAGCTCAGGTTCCTGGAAGTTCTCTCTCTACCTGGGAACTGCTGGATTCACACAATATACAATTTATTATCTAGCCCACCTTCTTCAGTTGAGAACTTAAAAAAAAAAAGATGTATATACTAATATACTATTTATGTTAAATATCTATTACCAGTAAAGTGTGTCTTATTTCTTTGGGTCTAGAGACATTTTGCCTCCTGTTATTTTGTAAAGATGTTTTATTATTGAGAATTAGTTTAATTCTCAAAAGCCCACTTTGTAAACTATTTTCTAATACTAATACTTTTAAGTATGAATGTCCTGTAATTATTATTAGACACTGACCAATTCTTTGTGGCTTGGTGCAAAAGTCACTCCAATTTGTCTTCTCTGACTTCTACATTCTGTAAGATATAATGTATACCTCTACGGCATGCATGCACAGAGTTTCTCCCAAATACAGTTTTCTGCAGTGTATATATGTACATATGTATATATGAAGGAGTACGGGACTTATTTTCTACAGTTTTCCTCTAAAAAGCAGAAAGGCACACAGATTTCTATATACTCCTCTGCCTATACTCTGAGAGGTAAAGGAAACTATTACATAATATTTGGCTTCTATCTTCATTTCTAACAAATTTCATTTATAACACTTTAAGCAGTAGGATAATATTCTTAATGGGATGTCAAATTAGTATAGTCCTACTGCTTTCAGAAACAGTTATAAATTAAAGTGTTATTTTTGTCTCTTCTTCCTCCTCTTTCCTTTCCCTCAATGCTACACTGACAGCATTTCAAAAAGTTGATATTCATGTATACCTGTTATTGCACTATATAAAAGCATTTAGCCAAGAGAAAATCATAGCAAGAAGCCTCAGTTAACACACAGTACTTTAAAATATGCCCTAATATTATATTGGCTTTCCTAGTGGCTTAGTGGTAAAGAACCTGCTTGCCAATGAAGGAGATGCAGGTTCAATCCCCAGGTTGGGAAGATCCCTTGGAGAAGAAAATGGTAACCCACTCCAGTATTCTTGCCTAGGAAATCCCCTAGACAGAGGAGACTGGTGGGCGACAGTTCATGGGGTCGCTAAAGAGTTGGACACAACTTAGCAACTAACAACATTGGAGGTTAGAAGTCCAGTTGAAATAGCAATCTAAGTTATTTGTTCTATCTAAATTGTATGTCTGTTATGTGAGAGGCCCTGTGACTGCACCAATTCTCACAAAAGAAACAGTGACACAGTGCAGTCACTGCATAGCGCTGACTCGGGCATAATTTTTGCCAGTTTTTGCCTTTTTAAAGCATGATAGTAAGTGCTGCCCAAGTTTTCAGCCTCTTGTGGCAAAAGAGCATACCAAATATGTACGTTGCATAAAAGTTGACTCCACGCTGAAGAATTTCAAGCAAACTATTCATGAGGCTTACATAAAACTTGAAAAAAATTTTTTTAAAAACTCTGAGGAAGCAGCTTTAAATAAATAGATGAACAAATCTACATTTTGTCAAAAAAACAATCTCACTCCCGGGTATGATTTGACTTCATTTTTTTTTTTTTTACTATCTGAGTCATCAGGGTCCCTGACTTCTTTTTTTTTTTCTAATAAATTTGACTTCATTTTTTGATACATCTTAATGGATTATCTGGCAAGACTAAATATCAAGTGTCACTAAAATTAAAACATTAATTTATAGGAATGGGTAAATATATAATATTAAATTTTTTAATTAAAATGCTTTAAGAAGATTTTGAGTGCCATTTTTCTGTAATTCATGTAAATGAGGCCTAAACACTACACTTACTTTTACCTTTGCAAGAAGCCAAGATTCTTCTTAAAAATTAAGATGCAACCCCAAGCTTAAATTTGATGACTTACAGTCAAACCAAAATTGAGAAGAAGACAAATTACCAAAACCATAACATAT